CATATTAGCCGCAAGACTAAATGTATATCACAGAGCTGTCAGCATGCTACCGGACGAGTGATTCGGGACAAATAGCTACTCGTGACTTGTTCAGAGTCATTTCATAGTTGGTGTAACACACGACCTTTTGGATACGTGTTGCACAACGCAGCTACTTAGCCATGGCGGCCTCAACAGTGAAAAGAAATAGCATATCAGAATGTTTATGCTCTTGTAAAATGTGAATTATGATTAATTTCTGCATATGTTAATTTTATTTTAAATAATTCTTCCGCTCAACAAATCATTTTATCATTATGTTTCATTTAACTGTCAACAAAAATATCTTTTTTTTTCAAAATTCAAAGACTACTTTTTCAACAGTCCAATCGAAATTTGAGTAGAGACCGCGTGCACCCTGTAGGTCTTAACGAGCTACGAATACAATGAAAAGGGTTTGGATTGCTCGCTTATTACTGTTGAGATACTGGATTTTGACGGTATTTTTAAAAATAGTACCGTATTCTCTCCTAAGAATAACAAGACAACAGAATTTCGACTTGAAACTTTACACGAGAACAACTTTCAACAAAAACTGTTTATGGTAAAAATTTCAGATCTTTTAGTTGTTTTTATTCTAAGGTAAAGGTATAACAACTGTATGTTTTTTGTTTTGTTTATAGATAATTGAGAGCTGTTCATTTACAAATTGTCATATCGAAATTCCAAACTCAGTTTTCCTATTGCTTCTGAGGGTCATTGTGACATTGTGTTTAAAATACAGTAAAAATTCAGTATCTAGACAGTAATAAGTTGTCAGTTCAAATTCTTTCTACAGCATTCATAGCTTATTAGAACCTACATTATGCGCATAGTTCCGATTCAAAACGAATTCAAATTTCCTTCTTAACAAATAAAGTGATAGTAAAAATTTTTTCTAGGAATTATAAAATCTACTATATAACATTGTTGACACTTTGCACTAACTTGATGATAATTTCAACAATAGAAAAAACAACAAATCTTATTCTGCCATAAAACATCATTCTACAAGACGAATAGAAGATTTTCCTTGAAAATTTATAATCACTATTTAAAGACTTTGTTGTCGAGACGTTCTCTAAATCTCTACTGCTATATTCTAAATCACTCTTAGTAGGTCATATTTATTGAGGTTGAATTGTCACCATTGATTAGAACAATCTAGTAAGCATTTTTATCAATAAAACTTATTGAATTCGATAAAGTTTTCTTTATGGTCACTATCAAACTGATACACAAAAAAGTCCACAAAAGGTATTTTCAAATAGCACTTTTAGCTTTAGAAAAATAAATTTTTTATGTTCTTTCTTATAAAATCATATTTCATTAGAAATTTGATGGTAGTTTTTCTCTTCGTTGATGATATTATTATCAACTTAGTTTCAAATGTCAAAAACCATATAAACTTGATCCTACTAATCATATAAATAATTTCAACCAACAAAATAATATTCTTGTTTGGTTATATAGAAATAGTTTAAATCCATATGAACGAACTACTCTTACACTCAAAGAGTAGATAATAAGAGGCACAATACATCTTTTGAACTTTTTAGTTTCTTCGAACACTGATTTGTTATTGGTTAATAACCAAAATAAGATTTCAGAATAATTTTTGCCATAAGGATATTTATTCTTTATCATATATATTGATTGAATACATAAGACGAAAAATTCTTTTTTAATATTATTAATTTCTAAATATATATAATTCAATGAATTAGATCTAATTTTATTTGTTTGTCGCTTTCTTTGATGAAGACATAACAAATAATACATGTTTTGGTGGTGGTCTTAGTCGATTTATGCTTGATCATTTTATTGGATATGAAGAAATCCTAATGTCAAGTATAAAACAATTGGCAGAAAAAGAAACTAATAAAGGTATATTAAATCATAGATGTACTTCAAATAGTTATAGTCAAAAAAAAAAAGACCATCTTTTAGGTTATGTTCGAAATGTTATGACGAATGATCATTTTCGTTTTGTGAGTTCGTTGCAAACTCATCGATTGTGGACATATTCAGTTGCTTTATCTATAATGGTTGTTTTTGTAAGTTAGAAAAATAATAAACAAATTTAGAAAAAAAATATCAAAGTTTCTTTTTTTTTTATCAGACAATTAGTATTTCAATGCTTCTTCGATATTCACATTTTCAAATATTTCTTTTTATTGGTAAATAAAAAATTTATAAATTCGATCTTATTATTTTTTCAAAAAAAATTCAAATTAATTTTTTAGTTGATCTTTTACGTATGATTGAACATAATACATCAGTTGTATTTCCTGCTGCTCCATTACTAACTGTTATTTTGGCACTTATCGGTATAAAAAGCGAATTACTTTTTTTGTTTTTGTTTGAAAGAACTTATTTTATTTATTTTTTTGAAAGGTATGGAAGCAATTATGTCGGAATTTTTTAATGATGCATCAACAGGTGAATAAATTTGCTTGATATTTACCTCAATTATGGCGTTTTGATGAAATATTATCTAAAAGAAGTGTTGAACTATATAGGCTAGAGATTGGCATCCTCTCAACTACGGACTGTGACAGATGCCTTAACGGCGCTTGCCTATCCCACGGTATAGATTTTACTGATATAGGATTAAAGAATGTATATCAACCATGTCTCGTTATAATAAATGTACTACTTTCTTGTGGCATTTCTGGAAGATTAAATAAAAAGATAATGAAGAAATATGTCTCAAACAGATAGAATGAAAACAACCTGTTTGTAATTAGCAACAGTAGCTGTATCATATTTGACATTTTAGTCTTATAGGGATTGTGCTAAGAGCCCGTTTTTCTTTGTTAATCTAGCTTTCTACGTCATTCTTGTCGTATGGATATCGGATCAATATGAAAGTATTTGTTGTCATACATCAATGAGTAAACGTCATTGGGTTCGGTAAGTTTTCTTTTTTTGAAATTTGGTTGATTTTTATTTTCTTTTTTTAAATTGAAGATTTTTTTATATATATCATTTTGCATTTTATGCATATCATGCACGTTATAATGGTCAATATTCTGCTTTAGCATTGACAACAAGCTGTTGTTTTATTTTTCATTCAATGTTATATTTTTTTCATCATTTTGAATTACCTGTTATTGAAGCACAACTTGTTCATATATTTGTTGATCAAAATATTATAACACAAACAATATCTACAACAGAAACAACAACAAACGATAGAAATAATAGAGAAGAAACTTCGACAATAATTTCTTGAAATATCTAATTGTTATCATTAATTGTGAATATTAATTTCTTTAGTTACACTCTATGGATGAGTGTACATTTGAATATATAGCGGAACTTTTTATTTTTGTCTGTCATCGATATTATATTTAATAGTGTGATTATATCTCTTTTTTCTTTTCTCAATGCGTGCTTTTTCTTCTGTTTTGTTTTTTTTTTTTTTTGCAAACAGTATAAAAAAACGAGTGTATTAATAAATACAATCATATGTATTTTCATTCTTGCTACTCAAGAATGAAGAAATCAATGAATATCGATCTTCTTAAAATAAGGACTTGTGATGAAATCTGAAGTGTTATTCAAACATAACATACATATATATTTATATATTAGTTCTTGCTAATTCATTATGCTAAAAAAAGTGTGTAAGTGTCGCTAAATTTCAAATAATAATTAGGTTTTCTATATTTAAAATATTCCACTGCGCAGTTGAGCTAGTGAAACATATAGGTTTGTGCGAAGGCAGAAATTAACTGAAAAATAGAAGAATTCTCCTCTAAGAAAAAGCTACAGGACTTTTATTGTAAAGTACTCGGCTTATATTCTTTTAACTTCACGTAAAACCAATTAGACTGAAAAATATTTAAGTCTCGGTTGAAATTTCTATTTTCTCAATTTTTTGATCGAGACTTGAATATTTTTCGTTCTAACTGGTTTTATGCAAAGTTTCATGAACTTCAGTTGAGTAATGTGTAACAAAAATCTCATCGTTTTTTCATAGAAAAAAATCCCCATCATTTTCAATGACACCTCTAATTCAGTATATGCTTAGGAATATATACAACTCTGATAAAAATGGCTTATATACATAACAACAATCATTTCATTAGTCGGACATATGAAAATATACATTCTTTGTGTTATAAGACGTAACTCTTAATGTTCATTAGATGTTATCAATTATTTTGAAACATTCATCGAGACAATTAAATGTCCTAGATAAATAAGAAGATTACACAAAAATGAATTGTCAATATAGATACTATGATGTATTATTTGTAACATTTAGATTTTTTCTAAATTGTATTGAAACACAATATGACTGTCATCAATGGAAGACATGACTTTACTTAAATAAAGTAATATAAATACTATGCAACAAGAATAGAAACTTAATCAATTTTGGATTTTAATGAGAAACTGACATTTTAGCCGATTTATACGACCATCATTAAAGTATAATAAGCTTAACTTGATACATAATCATGTAGACTAGTATTGCGAACATAATCCGATGTATATTTTGCTAACGAAAATAGCACAACCTACATTATTATCAATATTGTTGTTAGTCATTTAATGAATAATAGTAAATGAAGAAGTGGTCATGTTTAAAGTTGATTGTACATATATCAACTAAATGGAAGGCATGATTTTCTTTAATTAGATTAAAACGAATAATTTTCAACAAGCATAGAGAATCGATAAATTAGTTGTTTATTTAATTTATTTAATTTAACTCTATTCTTACTAGAAAATAAACTGTCATTTTCTGAACCTTGTTCGTGCTCTATCACATAATACAATGCGCTATAATATTGTACAAATATGAATAAGAGTGTCATCCTTATTTTCTTTATTTATGCAGTAATTTATTGTTGCTGCTTCTTCTTTTTCTTTATTACACAGACAATTACAAAAGATTTAGAGTTTTTTTTTTTGCACGAAAAACAAATATATATATATATGTATATTTTACAATATAAATTATAATGTCAATGTAGTTTATTAAAAAACTGTCGAACTCTTGTTCGAAATACAACACCACTAAAGGAATAAAGAAAAAAATTAATCGAATATGATGCATATGATATCAATTGTGTTAATAAAATGACTGTATAAAATAAAGGAACTATCATTTGATGATCGTCAACTATATTCGTATCATTAGCTAATAAATATTTGTTTTCAGTCGTAGTATAACCTTTAGTTTGAATAAAAACAATATTTTTCATTTCATGACTTGTTAAATTTGTTGCTTGTTGAAATTTATCCAGTTCAGAATGTTTATTATAAATTGGTGAATCAATACCAGTATAAATTTTTAAAGCAATAACACATAAATGTGCTGGAGCATTCAGTATAAGAAAACATGTCGAAACAAGAACAAGCATACGTGTAACACGGATTGATTGAGTTGTTTGTGAGCTCTTATTCGATACAAAATCTGCATCTCTTGATAATGATAATAATCTTCGTGAATTAAATGGATTCGATAATTTATGTTGATTTTGGTTTTTAAAATCACGTTCTGATTTAGTTGATTGATGAGAAATCGATGATGAATGATTAGTTGATAATGTATCTGAATTTAGTTTTTCAATTTGTAACTATAAAAATACAAATACATATTTATATATACTACAAATTTTTAATTAAAATAAACTAAAAGCATTCTCTATATTAAATAAACAGTTCCATTAAAATACAATTAGTTTATCATTATAAGCATACTTTCATGGATATTACTCTTTTATTTATGCCTCTTTGAAACATTATCTATAATCATGTTGCTTTTCAACCACTATCTAACTTTCTATGATATAACAATATATTTTAGATGAAATCTATTATTATTTTCATCACTCTTTTTAATGAAATACGTAATTATATCGCTTTTTAACTTCCTCATTTTCTTCAGAGCATTATTTTTAACCTTTTCGTTTCAAACTGCTTCCGAAATTGTTATTTACGCCATATGGATCTCAATCTATTAATGCTTGACAGCTTCGAGAACCTGGAGAGCTGACAGCTACAATGATTATTATTTTGTTGAAATAACATATATATGTATGAACGTATTATAAAAATATTTATAAATATTAAGAATTTCTTGATAGAATATTTAAGTTTATCAAAAAAAAGAATTGACTTTAGCTATTAAAAAACAATGTGTTCCATAGGCATTTCTGTCCTCTTGTAAAATATTATTGATACATTAAATTACTAAGACTTATGTTAACATAAAATATTTGACAAATCTCATTGAGTATATCTTCCTGATCAAAACAAACTAAGCCTAGATTTTCCTCGGAGTCATTATTCATACAAATTAACTTGTCTTGCATGAATAATGAATACAAAGAGCAATCATATTCCATTTATTCCGATCAGGGGGATAAATGTATTCATTTCTTGTTAAAAAGACATACCATTGGACTTGGTATTATACAGGCTTGAAATTCTGTTTCATTTGAAATGTTACATGGTGATCTTTGTTGACTTGTTCTTATTGAAATACAACTTTTGTTACTTTTGCTCGATGAAAAACTTGGACTTAATCGTTTATCAATATCTGTTTCAAATAATGTACCATGTGAAGTAAGTGGAGTACCATGGGAAGTAAGTGGAACACCATATGAGTAAGTTATTGAAAAACTATCTTTAGAACGAGTACTTTTTCTGAAATTATAATGTATACCCTTTCTCACATGTCTATTCGACTTTAATAATGTTGATTGTATATTAAAAGGTGAACGTGCATGTTTTCGAATCAAATTAACAATAAATAAATTGTATGTTAAAATTAAAGAAAATGGAATGACAAATGACAATAAAGCATCAGCAATAAACCAGCTTAATTTAAGTTCTTCATAACAATTAATATATGTATTGCTATATATTAATGTAATACAAAATGTTAAACTAAATATAAAAACTAATAGAAGATGAATAATTGGTGATGATCCTTCTTGAACAGCTGCTTGTAATGGATAACGAACAGCTGTATAACGTTGTACAGTAAATAAAACAGTAAAACAAGCTGAAAGTAATTCAGCTAAATGACTAAGAAATGAAATAATTAAACAAATACATTCAATTTTTCCACTAATAATATCTTGAGTAACTCGGATTAATAAAGCAATATTGTGAATAAGATCACTAAGAGCTAAATAACAATAAGAAAAAAAAAAAAAAAGAACATTTAATTTTTTAACAAAATATATTTCCTAATACGTTTAGTTTGTTCTTATATCTACATAATGATGTTTGTTTATACTATCACTAAAATAATGATTATTACTTATTTAGAAAAGGAATAATGAATCATCTTTGAAGATATGAATGATTCTTAGATATTTACAAAAACAACAAGTTTTCGATGTCATCTAATAGAAGTTAAAGTGTTGCAGATGCAGCAGACCTTTTAAGCTTTTGAATATTTTATCGATTAATGTTTTTCTAAATTTAAACCATGTGAAATTCAAAAACAGAAAGATTAAATGTTAATATCCTGCAAAGACAAGCATCAAGGATCGTGTTAAAGGATTAGAATTATTAGCATCATTTAACGAAAGAAAAAAAAAAAAAGTGAATTCTATTCAAAACAAAAAAAGAAATCATAATCATCAAACAATAAAATATCAAAGGCATGTGATGAAAGGCTTTCTTTGTAAAACAACAAAGTCAGATAGACCATTAATTTAACTTCATCTCTGTTCATTAATTGATATATACATTCAAATGATTGTCGCTCGAAAGAATTCCTTCAATTTATTAAGTATTTTTATCTGTTAGTGTCATAAACAATGAAAATGACTGTTTATGACATATTCAAGAACCGATGTTTTTTTTATAAATTGGACTTTAATTTCATTTTTCAGTATGCATATTACTTTGATTAGTTGCAATAAAAAAATAAAATTCTTTTTATTATGCTAAACGATAATTCATAAAAACGAATATTAAGCAAATTAGTTTTTCAAGATATTATTATTATATTTAAGTATTCCGTAAGATTTATTCTCTGCCTCTGTTTAGTCGTTGTGTTAGCGTGATTATCTAAACATGCAATAGATTGTGGCTTCGAAACAAAAGAAAATAATAGGAAGAAAGGAAAACATAATACAACTTGACAATTTGTATTATTTTGCACTTAAAAGTTCATTAACAAATTCAATTAAAACTATTCATTAATGATTCCCGTCTCATACATACCTAATGCAATCAATGTCCATTTATTTCTAAGATTTTTTGTAACAAAACCTTTGGATAGAAATACAATAGTCAATGTATTAGTGATAAGTCCAATGCAAACTATGATGAAAATGTAAGGAATAGTAATTTGGACCAGAATACTATGTATACTACGAAATTTATCATGATTGTTTGGTATATTAATAGCCGATTTGATTGTTTTTGATATTACTGTTGATATATTTGTCATTATTAATTGTATCTAAAAAAACTGCATTCAATTAAATGTTTTCTATGAATATCTGAAAAATTGGTTTAACTTCTAATATACTTGATCAATGTCTTAAATATAGAGATACTAGAGGTTATAACTTGAATATATTTAATATATTTGAGATTGAGAAAATATTGGAAATGTTAGCTTATATAAACTAATAGCTTCCGTACTGTACAAATGATATATTTTATTTGCACAACGCGTAGTTTTTTGTAATCATTTAAAACGCCATGTAAGATCCATTACAGTTCTATCAAACAGTATAATAGGAAAAGAAAAAAGAAACATTCCAATTTTGCTGCTATCTTTCAACATAGGAGGCTATCTCTCAGAATTTTTCTATTCAAGCACTTGAGTTCATCGTATATACTGGCAAATTAAATATTAATCATAGCAGGCAATTTATATTACAACTTTATCAGAACATTATTCAGTGAAAGCTGGGAAACACACAACTATTGATGATTTCTTTAGGTTCATTCCATGTCTGATATCATCCAGTTTCAAACATGACACTTTGGTGATAGACGTACTAAACAGTTTAATCACTCAGCAATGACCGTTACAGTGTGGCAACGTCTTTAATATTAGTAGATTTTGGTAGTAGGCTTTTAAAAAAAAGTGATTCATAACTTCGACTATATTTAACTCACGTACAATTTTTCTTTCATGTATTCATACAGCCTTTATCTATCACTTTTTCTTTAATACATTACACTAGTTATTTATAATATTTATGTATATATATCACAATCGCATGCAGCTATATGACCACTTCGCATTATCTTTACGACACCTGCACATTAAATCTAGCAATCTCACTAATCTTCGTCAAAAGTATTCCGTGTGCTGTCACTTATCGAATTGCACTAAGTTAAAAATCAACTCTTAAAATAATTAAACATTTTATTCTACCTTTCAAACAATCAGTAAAATACAAACATAGAAGTACTTCCAAAAAGCTGTAACAATATGTTACCTTAAAATAGAGGTTATTAAAAACAATTGCAAGTGTATATAAAAGAGAAAATATATAAACAAATTTATGAAATTATCGTTTATTCAGTTTGTTTTATACATTCTGTAATATAATGCAATTCACACAATAATTCAATGGCTTTTTACAATTCTATTCTTATATGTTCGACATATTTAATATTTCTAATATATATAATATTTTTTTTTTTGTTCCCATTGACATATCTCTTTATGTTGATTATATATAGATGAATATATATATTCGCATCTTCAGTATGTTTAATATCTCCTATAACTTCATGACCCGGAAAAGTTCAATAGAAGACAAAGATATTTTCACAGAAACTAACTGAATTTCTAAGAAATGTATAGAAAACATCATATGACATACCTTCTCACTTGATGAAGTTTGTGACCTAAAATGTAATGATTGTCAGTATATAGAACAGGTTGTTCTTTATTTTTCTTCTTTCTTTTCGCCTCTGGTAATGTTTTCTTCCGATGTTAGATCTTTTTTTTTTTCTTTCTTTCATATCTTTTCTGTTCGTCATTTTTTTAATGTTAGTTAATATCTGCTATAATGAGAAGAGGATTAAAATTCATGTTTGAAACAATTAAAAACTAATTAACATGGAATATCAATACGATATAGAAGTTACTTTAAAATAGATTGTTAATTTTGAAAGATGTTAAATCTTTAAAAAAATTTCATGATTTTATATTAATAAATATCATTTTGAAATTGTAAACAATAATATCGTAGCAATATTAACAACGAAGATTTATTCTTACTATCACAGAAAAAAAAATGACAAGACTAGCATCATATACTTGTTTTACAGTTTTATTATCAATCTACTCATAAAAACTAACTGTGAATAGTTAAAGAATCTTGTATGTTTTTCTATAGAATTGATCTAAAAATAAGACTGTATTTGACATGTATTAAGAAAGAAAAGAAGTCAGCAGTAAATATAATAAAACATAAAAACAGGAAACTATGAGACAAGACCGAACTATGTTTATAGTTTTGATAAATATTCTATCAGTAGACATAACTAATATTGTCACGTATATTTGAGAGAACAATTATCATTGAACGATCTTTTAATATATTCACATTGCAATTAATATAAATAATTGTTGACTACTCATTATTCATAAATAAAATATTGTTATTTCACAATAAGATCTCTAGCATTTGGGAATTATTTAGTGGCTGTCTGGTATGATAAAAACACCTATCGAAAACCAATTAATTTCAAACATGATACCAAATATGTGCAAATATCGATAAATAACATAGAATACGTACAATCTTTATCGATCTTCCCTTAATTTAGCAAGCATTCAAGTGTAAAATCATTTAGCTCTCAAGGTACCAAAACATCTTAGAAACCGCCTATGATCTAAATAAAAACAGGTTATAATTATGATTATCAAAGTATGACTGAATAAAAAACAAATTTTGACATTTCGATGAAATGCGTATTGCGTCTTTTTTTTATATATCGCTGATGGCTTAAGGAAACGAATGAAAGGAACAGGAAATGTTTGGCAAGCGAAGTAAAAGATTATAACAGACTGAACAAGAGATAAATGACAGATAGGTTGACAATCATTATTTCTTATGTGAAATTTAATCGAATATATACTTGTATTTTATACAGATTTTCAATATCACAAATATGCATGAAAGGTATTCAAATTAATAAATGTTTTTTTTCTCTCAAATATGTTCATGAAAAAAAAAAAAGAAATGATACTTTACAATTTGATATACAAGTTTATATTCATGTGTCTATGTCAAAAGACAAAGTAATGCAGACAGGTCATCTGTTTCCTTTGAATCTTGTCACTCTAATAGAATCAATTTCTTAAGAGAAATTTTTTATCGTGTTTATATTCTTCTCTAGAATATAATTGAACAAATTTCATTGAAAATTGCTCTTTCTTGTGTTGTCTGAATCTCTTATTGCTCTAATTTGGCAAGGAAGTACATTTCTAGTAGTAGTTAATAAAAGATGATTATAGACATTTCTTCTTTTTTGTATTCATAGGATATTTCCTTCTAAATAATTGACAGTTTTTTTTTCTAACGCCTAATTATATTTGACCTGAGTTAGTAAAAAAAAAAAAGTGTCTATCTATAAAGATATATGTTCATTAAAACATGAAAAGAGAAAAGTTTAGACAATACATCATTAATTTATTTTAAGATTCAGATATGATGCTTATTGCTCCGAAATAATATACCAATGCTAGAAAGACTTTTTGCAACTTTTTTAAAAAAATAATATTTAACCTTTCAATAAGGAAAAAAAAGAGCTTAAATAGAAAATGTATTAATTGAATCATTGCCTTCATCAGTGTTGATATATGAACTATTCACAAGTACTTTTTATTTTATTGCTGACATGACCGATGTCATGCATATATGAGAGAATTGAAAATTTCTGAAACATGAATAAACATAGCATAAAAAAAAATGAGGAAAAAATCATAAACTGTTGCAAGAACTGTTTTTCATCTTATATTATTCAGTAGATCACTTTTTTCGATATATGGAATAATTATGCGATAAAGGAATTGTTATGTATGACATCTGTTGATAACTGACATTTTAATGAGGATTTTATTTTTATAATTTACTACTACTTCTTGATCTTTAACTTGTCAATTACTTTGTGTTTTCTAAACCAATGATTAAAAGAGAAATTACGTCAGATTATTTTTGGTTTGAATTTTTTTCGATTAGCTATATTTTCTTTTTAATCATCTACATTTTTGTATAAATCTTCAATATTTAATATTATTTTTTATAGATTAACAAGAATCAAATTAAAAAATGCCAAAAAATAAAGGAAAAGGTGGTAAAAATCGTCGTCGTGGTAAAAATGAAAATGATGATGTAAAACGTGAATTAATACTTAAAGATGATGGACAATCTTATGCACAAGTAACACGTATTTTGGGTAATGGTCATATAGAAGCATTTTGCTTCGATAATACAGGTGGAAAAAAACGATTATGTCATATTCGTGGTAAACTACGTAAAAAAGTATGGATTAATCAAGGAGATGTTATTCTTGTTGGACTTCGAGATTATCAAGATGATAAAGCAGATGTTATTATGAAATATCTTTGTAAGAAATCAATTTAGAAAGAAAAAAACAACAAACACAAATTTCTTTCTTATTTCTCTTTTTTTGTAGCTGATGAAGCTCGTGAACTCAAACGTATTCATGAAATTCCTGATAATGTGAATATCACCGAAACATCAACGAACAACAATGATGGATTCGAAGATATTGTTTTCGATGATAGACACAATAGTGATGAATCTAGTGACGAAGAAGAACTGCCAAGAAACGTAAATGTTCGTGCAGCTGCTGATGATAGTCTTTCAGAGGATAATTCAGATAATGATCATGATGATAATAATTAATCATCCTTTTCATGACAGTAATTTACTGTCATAACATTAATCTGCTCAATAAAAGTTGATTTATCTATTTTCTTGATTTTTGTCAGATAAGCAGTGTTACTCTTTTTTGTTATTATGAAACATCGTGCTCTATTAAATGATCGAAAAAAAAAGAAATATACAATATATATTCTTCTTAGTAAATATAACTGAAAGGACTCGAAGAAAATTTAAATATGATTGTTCATGATATATTAAGTTATGAATTGTCAAGCAAAATAACTTCCTTCCCTCATCGATATTTGACACAAAAGTACTTAAAATACAAGACATAATAATGAGTTTTTCTTCTATAAAAGGGTTCTTTTCATACTATTCTTCAGTTCGGTAGGACGTCAACACGTGTTATTTTATATTGAATGCATCAATCATCATTACTCTTTCATTTGCATTTTGTTTTCTGTTAACTGTCGTTGTCATAGTAAAAACTAAACAACAAGCATCAAAAATTTTAATTATCAATTAGAACAGACGATGCAGAATAAAATAATTTCTTGACGCAAATTTT